GCTGCTAAAGGAACCACTCTGGGAGAGCGTTGTTTGGAGTCTGAGCCATGAAGCAAGCCCCTGCCCTGTGTGTCATCAAAACCCAGAGTGTATGAACCACACTAAAAGGGTTTAGCTAGGTCAGCAGAGACATCTCCCACAGACTTTCACTGATTATGGGCCCCTCCCAAAACCCTGGTAAGGCAGTACAGGGGATATTAAGTTGGTGGTGGGGTCAGGTAGATTTGGGCTTCATTACTACTTCATTATTAGTTCATTACTACTAATTATGTGGCCTTGGGCAAGTTATTTAATCCCTTGAACCTGAGTCTCATCATCATATTCAAATGAGATAACTGCCTGTGTGATTTTACCTATGCAAGCTCCAGACCTGCTGAGTGGCAGCAGCCACTGTGTCGGCCTCATAGGTCCTGGTAAAGATAAATGAATGAAGAAACGCATGTAAAGTGCTCAAAAGAGTGCCTGGTGCATAGTAAATGTGCAATACAAGTTATTAGCAATGTATTATTTTTTGTATACATAACTTTTTTTTTTCTTAAAGAGCTGGGATCAAACCTAGGGCCTACACAGCCCAGGCAAGCTCTACCACTGAACAACATCCCAGCCCAAATCATATAATAATAAGTGCTTGGCATTTGCAGTGTTCAAATTAATGGCAGTAGTGGGGCTGGGGTTGGGGGGAAGCAGCTTCCCCTTTCACAAGCTTTGGAAAATTACAGGCCAGATACAGAGCAGCACAAAGAATTCTTATAGAGGGTGGTTGGGTTTAGGCTATCTTAATTACTTTATTGAGGGCTTAGTCCGAGAAGGCTTTGTGATGGAGGGTCTATGGGAGATGGTGAGGTGGATCATTCCAGGTGACAGTAAAGGATGAGTAATTTGTGAGAAGTGGCCATGCTAGAAAGGCCATCCAGGATGAAGCCAGATGTACATTGCCAACTGTCAGCACCGATTTCCATGTCTCAACCTCAGAGCTGAGTATTCCCATTTTATATATGCGTTATTTCGCTCAGAGAGGGTCAGTGGAGGTCTCAGAGTTCCTGAGGATTCCAAGGCTTGGGAGATTCTCTGTGAGGCTCCCAGGATGCTCTCCAGCCCCCAGGAGTCCCCTGAGMACACCTTGCATTGGAGAAGCTCCGGCAGAGGAGTAACCTGTCTCCCAGGAGAAGCAGCAATGCCTCCCCCATCTTTAGGACATCTGGGGTCCTTCAGAGCCTCTCCTGCAGACATAGGACTCCCATTGTTCCAGCCCCCTCTGTACCCCAGACTGGCCAAACCGGTTCTGAGGAAGGGGGGCGGGGAGCAGGCACGTTGAGACAGCCGCCTGCCTCTCTGCAAGGTTCCCTCCGCCTTCCCCCCGCCCTGCCCCACACAATACCCAGCAGTTTGCCTKGCCGGGCTCAGGGGCCATGCTGACATCGCCCCCTGAGGACTTGGCTGCAACCCCAGAGCCCCCAGGGTGGCCTGCAGCCCTGGACTGTGCCCGCAGCTGGACGGAGCTCCCTGGCTGAGGTAGGGCCCCCAGGGTGCCAGCAGCCCCATCCACCTCCCACCAGTCTTCCCCAAGTGAGTCCTTTGTGCTGCCTGCCTGGCCTCTGATCTTGGCCCCAACACACTTATGGCCTCCTGGGGATCTGCAGACCSCTTGGCCTGGATCCCCTTTCTAGCCATGACCTCCCCTTGTTTTTTGTCCTTAGGGGGCAGGATCCCTCTTCCTGTGGGCTGCAGGGCTAGGGGCACTAGGCAGGAACAGGGAAAAGACCATAATCGTGTCCAAGGACACTCTCTGCCAGCCTTGCCAAGTGGCCTATCACCCTCTGTGACTGGCAGTGCCCACCCGAGAGGACTCTCCCTGGCCTCTGTCTATCCTTTCTGTCCTGGAGAAATATTTATGATGACTCAGGTTTCTTAGAGGGAGCAGCTGGGGCTGGTGACTTTGGGACACTTTGAAGGTGGGAATACTGAGGCCCACGGATGAGCCATGACTTGTCTAAGGTCACACAGAGCTGATTAGTGCCCATGTGGGGCCTTGAACCTTGTCTAAGGTCACACAGAGCTGATTAGTGCCCATGTGGGGCCTTGAACCTTTGGCTGGGTTTTTTCCCTTTGGGTTCTAGAATGGCCACTGGTCTCTCCTGAGGTTATGTCCTGGGCAGGTAGTGTCCCTGCTGCCTGGGCCCAGTTCTCTCCCTCAGGTTTTCTTTTCTTCTTTCCTAGCAGAGATGAGCTACACACAATATGAACGCAGCTCTGCCCCTACCTGATCCCCAGCATTGAGGTTGGGTGGCCACACCTGAGCTGGGTGGATCATTCCCTTCGCCCCTCAGCCTGGGCGTGGGGTGGGTGGAGGCTGCTCACTCCTGACCGCCCACTCAGGACCTGCCTCCAGCCCGCTCCTGCCGTCCACCTTCCCTCTGCCCACACTCACCAGGCTTTTCCCCAAGGCCTCAATTGGACGTGCCTCTGCCCCAAGACTCAATGTTTGGCTTATTTATCCCTGTAAATTATGGGGGTTGCCTCTCCCTGCCTTCCAGGGGCGCCTAGAACTCCAAAGAATTTCCTCTAATACAGGGAGCAGGGGCATGCACGAACTTTGCTGAGGACTTCTTATTCCTGGAGAGAAAGGAACCTATCTGGAGGGCAGAGGCCACCTGGGTCCCCACCCACATGCTCCTAAGATGTCATGTGTATCTTCATTTTTCCATCTGGCTGATGACCCAGACCATCCCCCAACACCATAAAGACTGATGATAATAATAATGATACTCTGGGGAATGACCGTGGGCAACAAGCTCCACTCTGCCCTGGGTGCTTCACCTCCACGGTGCCTATTCTCTCATTAGCGCTGTCAAGTTGGTGTCTCTCTCCTGTTTGCCAAATGAGGAAACTGAGGCTTAGGGAAGTATACTCAGATGGACAGAGGCTCCAGGTACAAGCTAGAGGCGCCACCTCAGGGAGGCTCCTTAGGAGCAGCCGGTTCCCACCTGGCCAGGAGTAAGAATGGGGAAGCAGCTGGATCACTCCTCTTTAGGTGCTCTGGGTCCTGGGGATTTTGCATTAGCTGTTACCATGACCTCCTCCAGGAAGACCTCCAGGATTCCCAGGTTGAGTGAGCCTGGCACACTACTCAGATGTGCCTCTGGCTTGGCTCTTGCCAATCTGGATTGTAACTGTTTTCATTCTTGGCTCTCCCACCAGACTGGCAAGCCCACGGGGCATGAATTGTTTGTCCATCTGTCTTCCGGGGTTTTTCTGGGCTTCATGTCTGTCTCTGAGTATCTGGACTGTCTGAAATTTTTTGTGTCTCTGTCTGCATCTCTGGGTCCCTGAATGTCTTAGCATCTGTGGTTTTTCTGTTTGTCAGCATTCAGGGTCTCCGTTTCTGAGTTGCTGTCTAAATGGTCTACATTTCTCTGGGTCTCCCTCTGAGTTTCTTGGCCCTGCCAGACTGGGCACTGCCCATTTGGCCAGAAGGGACCTCTGGGGGGTCCTTGCTGCCCAGCCTGCCCACAGTGAGGCCAGGCTAGGGTAGGCCCCCGCCCAGCCCGCTGCCTGCTCCCTCCTCCCTCCCGGCTTGCCTCACCACAGGGTTTGATGAATCAAACTCTTTGTCTGGGTGGGATCTCCCCCAGCCAGCTGGGCAGAGAGAGGGCTTCCCCTGCACAGCAGCCCGACAGCATCAGCAGCTGGAAAGGTGAGGGGCAGGAGGGTGGTAGTGGAACGCCCTGGGGAAAAGGCCATGGGGGCTTAGACCCCTCAGATCATGGTTCTACCCCAAGGCTCTGGCAGGCTCCCGGGATGACGTCCTGCCCAGAAAGAACCCAATTAGCCTTGCTTGATCCAGGGGCTAGGAGCCAGGGTGGGAGAAACCCCCCCCCCCCGACCCCAAGCTGGGGGGCTAGGCCACCTCTCTACCCTTCCCTGGGAGGGCCCCACCTAATCTGGGTTGGCGGCCTGCCTTCCGGCTGTGACCCTCCCAGCCAGCTTGGCATGGGTGTGGGCATCACTCAGCACTGAAGGCCGCCACTCGGGGGGAGGGGGGGAGGGGGGTTGGGTCACACCAAAGCAAGGACTAGTGGGCCCATGCATTCATGTCTGAATCCTGGGGTGTGCATGTGTGTGACTGGAACAGAATGGGAAAGTGTGTGTGTGTGTGTGTGTGTGTGTGTGTAAACATCAGATGGGTCAGTGCATGTTTGGGAGAAAACACCTATATAGATGTTTGATTTAAAAAAAATTAAAAAGCGAATCAAAAAATATGTGTCCGTGAGCCAGGCATGGTGGTGCACGCCTGTAATTCCAGCAGCTTGGGAGGCTGAGGCCAGAGGATCTCAAGTTCAAAGCCAGCCTCAGCAAAAGCGAGGTGCTAAGCAACTCAGTGGGACTCTGTCTCTAAATAAAATACGAAATAGTACTGGGGATGTGGCTCAGTGGTTGAGTGCCCCGGAGTTAAATCTCCAGTAAAAAAAAAAAAATGTGCCCATGAATTTGTGTACTTGAATCTCAAAAGTCTGAGTGTATCTATGAAAGTGTGTGTGTGTCAGTGTGTGTACTTGAGGGTAAATGTGTGAATGTATTTGTTGGAACATGGATTTGTGTGGCAATATATATATGCCATGCATCAGTGTATTCAAGAAGGTACACAGTGAATAAATAGCAAGTCTTGAAAGTTGCAATGCCCGAGTGAGTATCCTGGCTCTACCACTCACCACATAACCACCTCTCTGCCTCACTTCCCTCACCTATAAAATGGGTAGAATAACAGCATCGACTCATAGGAGGAGTTAAATGAGATGATATGTGGAAAGCACTTGCCCGGCATTATGTAAGGGCCAACTATTAGCTCTTAATTAGATAATCAGGTGGGTGTTTGTGCAGATGTGTATAAACAGCATACACGAGGGGTTGTCCAGGCCTCCAGAATGTGGTGGCTTACTGGCTAGTCCAGCTGTCCTGTGCCTGGCTCTGATCCCTTCTCCCCTGCAGGCACAGGTGGGTGGCACAGCAAAGGAGGAATGGACTGTGGGCCACCTGCGACCCTCCAGCCCCACCTGGCTGGGCCACCTAGTACTGCCCGCCGCCCAGTAGCTGTGTGCCAGCAGGAGAGTCTGTCCTTTGTGGAGCTGCCCACCCTGCAGCCCCTGAGCCCTGTGTGTCTGGACCTCTTCCCCGTCGCCCCGGAGGAGCTACAGGCTTCTGGCAGCCGCTGGTCCCTGGGGACCCCTGCCCCTCTCCAAAGGTTGCTATGGCCACCATCCCCAGGAGGCCCAGACACCACCAGTGGGGGGATGCGGCCCAGCAGGGCGGGCAGCTGGCCCCACTGTCCTGGTGCTCAGCCCCCAGCTCTGGAGGGACCCTGGAGTTCTCAGCACACACAGCCTCAGCGACGGGCCAGCCATGGCTCTGAGAAGAAGTCAGCCTGTGAGTTACCCTTCGGGGAATGGCCCATTGGGGCAGACGAGGAGGGGGCTGGGTGGGCTCTTTTTGAACCCCTTAAGCCCCAGAGTTCCAGGACAAGTGGCAGATCTTAGTGATTAGGGAACTATAGTGCTCAGGGAGGGCAAGTGACTTGTCAAAGGTTACACAAGTCTCTGGCTGTCCTGGGCCCTTGCCCTGTGCTCTCTACCCCTCTTGTTGCTTCCATGGCCCTGGGCACCAGATCTTCACAGAAACATCAGCCTTTCTCTTGGGCATGGAGCCTGAACTCCCTGGGATGCTCAGAACCACAGGGCAAAAGCAGGAGACAGGGGTTGGAAGAGACCCCAGTAGGTGCCAGCCTGTGCTCTCATGCCCCACAACCACAGGGCGCAAGATGCGAGTGTACCAGCGTGAAGAGGTCATGGGCAGCCCCCAGGCCCATGCTGTCTTCCTGGAGCCTGGGCAAGCTGCGCAAGAGAGGCATTTGAGCACAGAGGAGCCCAGGCCACTGGAACTGTCTGGGACTACCAGGGCTGGCCTTGAAGGGCCTGAGCGCAGGCGCTTCTCAGCCTCAGAGCTGATGACCCGGCTGCACTCTTCTCTGCGCCTGGGGCGGAATTCATCAGCCAGGGCACTGACTTCAGGAGCAGCCCGGGAAGGTACCAACAATTCCCCTGGTCCCTGACAGCCCTGGGTGAGCACATGGGGGTGGGGCATGTCCAACTCGCTAGACACCGGGACACTTGCCACTGGATGCTGGTTGAAAGGGTGTTGTGCCCTGTACCCTTGGGACCACCCACCCTCAGCTCTTTCTCTCTCTCTAGGGAAGGCATCTGGAAGGGAGCCCCGAAGCATAGAGATGAGGGTGGACAGCATTTCTCCGCCAGCACCTGTTGACCCAAGCGAGAGCCACGGCGGCTTGCTGGATCCCAGGTAACCACCACTCACTCGGCTCGGGTCTGAGGCAGGGTGCAGCCAAATTAGAGTCCTGACACTCTTTCCTAGGCTGGACACGCAAGAAGGGCCGCCTCCAGATCCTAGAAGCGCTAACGAGCGGCGGCAGTCGCGATTCCTCCTTAACTGTAAGCGGAGAGGGTCTCTGGGAGGGGATCACGGAGGAAGAGGCTGGGGTGTGGAAACTCCAGGGTTTGGAGAGGTGGGAGGTTGAGATCGTGTGAAAGACAGAATTGAATTCTCGAAATCTAGCACTGGTGCTACCGCGCAGTTGGCGCTCAATTAGTGTCAACGGAATGAATAAATGAGTGAATGAATGAATTCAATGTGTCCCAACCACTGCAGAGGCTTGTTAAGTGAGGCTGGCTCTCGGGAGAACCTGGGAGGAGCCGTGCCGGGGCCGGCGGGCATCCCACGGCCCTACCCGTGTCCCTCCCCCTCCCAGCTGTCCTGTACCAGGAATACAGCGACGTGGCCAGCGCCCGCGAACTGCGGCGGCAGCAGCGCGAAGAGGAGGGCCCCGGGGACGAGGCGGAGGGCGCGGAGGAGGGGCCCGGGCCGCCGCGCGCCAACCTCTCCCCGAGCAGCTCCTTCCGGGCGCAGCGCTCGGCGCGAGGCTCCACCTTCTCGCTATGGCAGGACATCCCCGACGTGCGCGGCAGTGGCGTTCTGGCCACGCTGAGCCTGCGTGACTGCAAACTGCAGGAGGTGGGCGCCGGGACCCGACGGGGCGGGGCGGAGGCGGAGCCTGGGCGGGGGGGGCGGAGGCGGAGCCTGGGCGGGGGGGGCGGAGGCGGAGCCTGGGCGGGGGGCGGAGGCGGAGCCTGAGCCGGGGGGGGGGCGGAGGCGGAGCCTGAGCTGGGGGGGCGCCCTCAGAGGGTAGGATAACAAGTAGGTAGGTAGGGAGCGGGCCACAAGTCCTGGGACTTAGAGCGGACCGAGTCACAAAAGGACCGAGCGGCAGGGTTGCCCACACTGAGGATCGGAGGGTCCTGGAAGCTAGGACAAGAGAAGTAGTGGTGCCAAAGGCAAGTAGAGAATCTAGACTGGGAGCKTGAGGGGCGGAGCCAAGGGAGCGAAGCCTCGGATAGGGCAGGGCCTGAGGGGGCGGAGCCATCGAGATAGCCGGGGCTGGGTGGGGCGGGGGTGGGGCCTAGGGCAGGGGCGGGGCTGATGGAGGAGCGCTCCGCGGGYGAGGCAGGGCCCAGAGGAGCGGAATGGGGCAGGTGGGCGGAGCTAGAGGAAGGGGTGGAGTCGAGGGCCACTGTTTGGCTCCTACAATTGCCTGTGGCAGGAGGCGGGACCCTGGGCCGCTGCCAAGAACCAGATTAAGGGTGCAATTAGAGAAGGGACGGGTATAGGGTGTCTGTGGAGGCGGCCTTGGGGTTGGGGGATTCCAGGCCAGGATCTCGAGGTAGGCTAGCCTGGCCCTTACAACCCCGTCCATCCTCCCTCAGGCCAAATTTGAACTGATCACCTCCGAAGCCTCATACATCCACAGCTTGACAGTAGCCGTAGGTCACTTCTTAGGCTCCACCGACCTCAACGAGTGTCTGGGGGCGCAGGATAAGCAGTGGCTCTTTTCCAAACTTCCTGAGGTCAAGAGTACCAGCGAGAGGTGAGGGAGTGATCTGGCCTGGTGGAGGTGGGGACAGACCCTGTGGCTGGCACGCCCCCAGATCTGTGAGCTCTGCCCTGGCCCTGAGCCCTGGCCCACCCTTCAGGTTCTTGCAGGATCTGGAGCAGCGTCTGGAGGCAGATGTGCTGCGCTTCAGTGTATGCGACGTGGTGTTGCAGCACTGCCCTGCTTTCCGCCGTGTCTACCTGCCCTATGTCACCAACCAGGCCTACCAGGAGCGCACTTACCAGCGCCTGCTGTAGGGCTGGGGGCTCTGTTTGGGGGAGGAGGGAGGGAGGTCCCGGCTGGCACAGAGGACAGGGTGAGGAAGTGTGACTCTGAATGGGGAGGGGTCCCTCTAAGGGGCTCTGTGACCAAGATAAGTGGCACCTGAAGAGCCAAGGAGTAGTGGGGTGGTGGACACCAGGAGTTCAGGCCTAGGGGTGACTCCTCTCCCCATTTTATAGCTTGGAAAACCCCAAGTTCCCCGGCATCCTGGCTCGTCTGGAGGAGTCTCCAGTGTGCCAACGACTGCCCCTCACCTCCTTCCTCATCCTGCCCTTTCAGAGGATCACCCGCCTGAAGATGCTGGTGGAGGTACCCAGAGGGAAGGGCTGGGCAGGCAAGATCATGAGGAAGGGAGTGGCCTGTCTCATTTTAGAATCTCACCTCTAGAACATCTTGAAGCGCACAGCCCAGGGCTCCCAAGATGAAGATATGGCCACCAAGGCTTTTAATGCACTCAAGGAGGTGAGCTCAGGGGGACAGGGCTGTTGGGCTCCTGACCAGCTGTCCTGGACTCCTAGCATGTCCTTTAAAGAGCCTCCAGCTGTGGGGGTCTTTGATTCCTGGGCAGAGGCCTGAGGCTGGGCTCTGGTATCCTGGGCTCTGGTCAAGCGGCTTGCAGGTGACCTGCCCCTGGCCTCCCCAGCTGGTACAAGAGTGCAATGCCAGTGTGCAGTCCATGAAGAGGACCGAGGAGCTCATTCACCTGAGCAAGAAGATCCACTTTGAGGGCAAGGTTTGTGGCTCTTGTTTCCTCTTTCCCCTGGGGACTTCAGGCCCCAGTGTCATTCCCATACCCACCTCTCAACTTGTGCTTTCTGTCTGTGCCCCTGAGCCTCTCTTTGTCTACTCCATCCTCCAGATCTTCCCGCTGATCTCTCAGGCCCGCTGGCTGGTTCGGCATGGGGAGCTGGTGGAACTGGCACCACTGCCCGCAGTGCCTCCTGCCAAGCTGAAGCTGTCCAGCAAGGCTGTCTACCTGCACCTCTTCAATGACTGCCTGCTGCTCTCCCGGCGGAAGGAGTGAGTCTGGGTGGTGGGCAGGTGGATCGGAGCCAGGCTTTCTTCTCCTCTATCAGGACCACTGCTAATGGCCTCTCACAGGACTTGGGAGCCCCAGCYTGTGCCAGGCTAAGCTCCCTGGGCACCCTGAGCATTGGAGGCTCCTAGAACACAGGTGGACAGTGAGGCCATTGTCCAGATGGGAGAGTCAAGGGCTGGGCTGTGTGCAGAGGATGTGAAGCTTCAGCCAGTGAGATCAGAAATGAGCAAAGCTCTGAAGTCCAACTCTTCCCTGGCCCCAACATTGGCCCAGGACATGTTCTGGGCCAGGCGTGCTGCATGGATTCCCTTCAGTCCTGCAGATACCTCCCTGAAAATTAGGCTCCCTTGTTATTCTCAAGATTGGGGCACTAGTGAATGAAGGACCCAGAGGTAACCACCTCTGTCTGATGCCAGAACCCATGTTCTTACCTACCACACCGCCCTAATGTCCACCTGTAAAACAGGCTACCGTGTAGGGACATCCAGTGTGACAGTCACTCTTGAAAAGAGCTCAGCTGGGTGCCTGGGCCCAGGGAGCACTCGCTCAGTCCTAGCTGTGATTATCCCAGGTGAGGAGGGATCAGAAAGAAGAGCTCCTCTCGTGAGCTGGAGGCTGGATGGGGTGGAGAGGGCATCTCAAGCCATGAGAAGAGTTCATTCCTGATTTTTTTGCTCACTTGATAAACTGTCACTGAACTTGTTCTGTAATGGACCCCCTCTGCTGAGTACTGGGGACATAAATATGCATGACAGTTGCTGTCTGCTCACAGAACTCTCAGACCAGTGAGCATCCATCCTGATAATCATGTCATGTGGGTTCAGATGGGAGGGTGTGTGTGGTAGCCCCTAGTGTGGAGTAGTATTGATAAAGCTACACAAAGGAAGGGACATTTCAGTTGGGTTCGTAGGATGAGGAGGAGCTTTCCAGGTAGATAGTAATTTGGAGGAGAGTATTCAGCAGGGCTGTAGGAGTTTATGAGAGGACAGTGTGGTTTTTTAATTTTTTTTTTAGTTGTCAGTGGTCCTTTATTTTATTTATTTGCATGTGGTACTGAGAATCAAACCCGGTGCCTCACACGTGTTTGGCAAGTGCTCTGCCACTGAGCCACAACCCCAGGACAGTGTGTTTTGGAATGATGAACCTGCTGTGGCTGAATTTATAGAAGAGAGGTCAGGAGAGGGCAGTTGGGATGTTGCAAGTGACAGTGGAGAGGTCAGACTGGTCCTGGGGGCAGCAAGGAGCATGGAGAGCCAGGAGCAGTGTGACTTATTGCTCCTGCCAATCTGAAGGATGGCCGGTAGCAGCAGAGACCAGAAGCCCTCGCAGTCGCCCAGGTGAGTGTAGGTGCCCCAGGGGTGACAGGGTGTTTCAGGGTGAGAGGATTCTGGGGACAGTACATAGGAGGGAAGACAGGTCAGAGCTACCATTTGGGGGGTGGTGCGTTGGCACCTGACTTCCTCTGGGGCAGTTGGTGGGGTTCTTCCCTAGAACGGAGAAAGAGAAGGGAATTGATTTGGAATGGCAGATGCTAAGATAAGGAAGCTACGGGACAGACTGGCACAGTGGTGCCACTCAGGATGTTGCAAGTCACAACTGTAATTCCAACAACTCCGGAAGGAGGATCCCAAGTTCAGGGCCAGGCTGGGCAACTTAGTGAGACCCTGTCTTAAAAATAAAAAATCAGAAATAAATGAAAAAATTAAAAATAGGGCTGGGGATGTAGCAGAAGCTGTGATACCCTGCCCACTTTCCACCCTCCTTCTCACAAGTGTTTACTGAACCTAAATCGTGTGCCAGGCAGTGCCTGGCTGTAGGATGCAGGGCTAAGAGGCAAGGTTTGGCCTTCTTGGAGCTTCTATACCAGTTAGGGAGTCAACACCAAACAGGAACGCATCTAGTTGGGTCCTCGCAGCAGGAGCTGGGGCAGAGGTTCAGGGAAAGCTGAAGGTGTGCCTGGGTCAGGACTGGTCACCACTTTCCCCCTCTGTCAGCGACCTGCAGGGATGGAGCTGCCAGTTTCTTGCTGGCCCCTGGAGGAGTGGCACCCTGCATGGGCGAGGTTCCCTGGGAGGCTGCTGGAGGGGCAGAGACCCCTCTCCCTTCGGTCATCTTACCTTGTCCAGAGGATGGTGCTAGGAGCCCGGGCCCAGGCCAGGCTGACCTCCTCCTSTCCCGCAGGCTCGGGAGGTTTGCCGTCTTCGTCCATGCCAGGATGGTGGAGCTGCAGGTGAGGGACCTCAGCCTGCAGCTGCAGGGCATCCCGGGYCACGTGTTTCTCCTCCGGCTCCTCCACGGGCAGCATGCCAAGCACCAGTTCCTGCTGAGGGCCCGTACAGAGTGAGTGGCCAGGGGAGGGAGGAGGACCCCGAGTGYCCAGAGCAGCAGATGTGTCCGACTTGGGGGCCAGGGCCAGGCCCTGGGTGTCTTCTGGATGCCAACAAATATCCCTTATCTCAGGCTTCAGGATGGGGCAAGGCAGGACATGGGCAGCGCTAACATCCTGGGGGCTCTGGGGCGGAGCAGACGTGGCTCCTGGGTTGGACATCGTTCTCCGTGACCTGGTTTCCCTCACCTCTGGGCAGTGGTATTTTGCATGTTGTGACAATACAGCCCCCTCTTCCTTAGGAGTGAGAAGCAGAGGTGGATCTCAGCCTTGTGCCCCTCCAGCCCCCAGGAGGACAAGGAGGTTATCAGCGAGGGGGAAGGTAGTAGCCTCCACCCCAACCACCCCCATGTCCCTTAGGCTGGGGACCTCACTGCTTTCTCTTCCTCCAATCCTGGGTGGCTGTAGGGAGGGAGACTGGCAGCCTGGGGTGGTTAGGGGTGGCTCAGAGGACCCTGGAAGGCTAGGCAGGATTGGCACAGGACAGGCCGGCCCTGTGGGAGGGGGGCAGCACCAGGAATCTCCAAAGTCCATTCTGCATGTTAAAGACAGATTCTGAGTGGGGAGGGGATTAGTCCAAGTTCACCCAGCCTGTAAGTGGCAGAGCTCTCTGGAGACCGGGTCTGCCTCTGCCTTTGCATCAGTTGCAAAGAGAACGGTACCTGTGGGTGGTGGAGAGAAGGTGGGGGTCTTCTTGGTTGATAGAGTCACCTCCTTGGAGTCTGGGCTGGGGAGTCACGGTGCTGCCTAGTCCCAGAGCACCTTGCTGGCAGGCAGTCGATCTTGATGGCTCTGAGCAGAGCCTTCGGGCTGAGCTTTAGGAAGGGGTGCGTTTAGGAAGGAAGGAATGYGTTTCCACCAGCACCTGCCACACGCCAGGCCCAGGGCTAGGACCTTTGCTTTGGCATTTATTTTATTTAATCTTCACCACAGCTCTGTGAGAATCATTTTCTTCATTTTTCATATCTGCCCAGAAAGGTTAAGTAACTTACCCAAGGTCACAGAGCCAGTAGGTGACAGATCTTGTTTAGATGCTCTAACCTGTGGCGTTTGGACCTCCTGCCCACCTAGCCTGTTTGAAAGGGTAGGGCCTGGAGCCACAGATCCTCTGGCTTGGGCTGAGTCCCACTGGCTGGCATGAGACCYCTACTCCAGACAGGTGGTGAGGGCACGCCCCTGGGAAGTAACCTCTGAGCCCTAGGGGATGAGGAGGGCAGCCATGGATGGTCCAGGAGGAGCACTCCTGGCCGACCACACAGGCCTGTGGGCCCAGGGAGGTCTGAGGATGTTCTCAGRGGAGAGGGGAGGGTGTGGCTGGCATCGCTGAGGAGGGAGAGCCTCAGTGCTGTCAGGGGACCTGTGACGCCATCACTATTTCCTGAGTGGCGTCTGGAGCAGTTGGAGGTTGGGGTCTAGGGGTCAAGGGCAAGGTGTGGGATTGAGCTGGGAGGTGAGAGCCTTGGCCAGAGTAGAAACCAAAACGTGGAGGGACTGGACCCAGCAGGGTTGAACTGCAAGAAGAGGGCGCCAGGTCTTGCTGGTGGCGGGGAGGGACAGAAAAGCTCCTCCCTTTGCTTTACATTTTCCTACTACCCCTCCCTTCCCTGGGACTCCCCGACCCTCCCTKGGGCTGTAGACCGCCCTCAGGTTCAGTGTGTCAGGACGTACAAGGCCCTGCAGCCTGATGAGCTGACCCTGGAGAAGACGGACATCCTGGCAGTGAAGACGCGGACCAGTGACGGTGAGCCTGTCACCCTGGAAAGCACTCCCGGCCAGGGCTTGGACATCACAGGGAAAGATGATGCAAAGGCTGATAAACCACAGCGTGTGGGAATCCCTTAGATAAGAGGAGGAACTTCCTGCTCCTAAAGCTGCAGGATCTAGAGTGATGGGGGAGAGTGGGAAATACCCTTCTCAGAGGTGTCAATAAAAACAGGTCAGTTTATCTACCAGACAGCGAGGACATGCTGAAATGATGTCACCTGGGCCCCAGGCTTGCATCAGGCGGAGGCTTGGTGCCCCTTTGATGCTACCAATGCTGCTGTCGGCTGTGTCCCTAGGCTGGCTGGAGGGGGTCCGGCTGGCCGATGGCGAGAAGGGGTGGGTGCCCCAGGCCTACGTGGAAGAGATCAGCAGCCTCAGCGCCCGCCTCCGGAACCTCCGGGAGAATAAGCGGATCACCAGTGCCACCAGCAAGCTGGGGGAGCCGCCCGCGTGACTGGCACCCCTGGCCTGGACAGGTCAGGGGCCTGCAGTGTCTCCACACCCCGGGCTGCTGCTGCGGCTGGCCCTGCCATCGAGGGAACAGGCTGGGCCGAGGAGTGGGGCCTCCAGAGGGTCTTCCCTGTCCTGTGCTCCTCGGCGTCCACACTCCAGGGCCGAGTGTGGTTCTTCCTGTGGGATGGGGCCCTTCCCGCTGTGCCCTCCACCCTGCCCACCTCTGGGCCCCTCTGGCAGGGTGCTGGCCGAGGAGTACTCTGGTGCTGGTTGGTGGGTGCTGGGACCTCTGTGTATCTGGAGTCTTCTCTGCCCCCTCCCCACAGCGCCAGGTTGGGGCTGGTGGCTGTGACCTGTCTCGGGAGCCGGGAGCCTGCACACTGCCCCGCTGTTTCCCGCCTGAGACCAGGAGCGCCTCTGGCTGCTTCCCCCTGGGTTTCCTTTTCCAGAATTCTCTAGGGACAGGCGCTGCATGGTCAGGCTGCCTTCAGCTGCCGTCATGAAACGTTGGGTTCCAACAGCTGAATATTAAAGAGATTTTATTAGTTCTTGGATTTGTCTCCTATGGCTTCTGGGTGACTTAAATCAACAGAAATGTCTCTGTCACCGCTCTGGAGCAGGAATCTAAAGTCCAACATCGCTGGGCCCACGTCCAGGTGTTGGCAGGCTGGGCAGGGCTGGTCTCCACTGGGGACCCAGGAGAGGGTCATCCTGCCTCTTCTGGCTCCTAGTGGCTGCTGAATTCCTCGACTTGGAGCCACATCGTTCCAGGCTCTGTCTCTGGAGTCACCTTCCCGGTTCTTGTCAGATCTCCTGCCTCTGCTTACGAACATGTGATTGTTCCTAAAGTTTGGAGCCCACCCAGATAATCCCCCATGTCATCATCCTGCACTGATACAGGCAGAGTGGGGTGCAGTGGCACATGCCTGTGATCCCAGGGACCTGGGACACCRAGGCAGGAGGATCCCAAGTTCAAAGCCAGCCTCAGCAACTTAGCAAGGCCCTGTCTCAGAGTAAAAATAAAAGGGGCTGGGGGCATTGATCAGTGGTAAAATGCTTGCCTAGCATGTGCCAGGCCCTGGGTTCAATTCCTGGCATCTCAGAATAAATTAATAGATCACATTACAAAGATACTCCTAATCTACTATTTTAAAAAACCATTTAATCATTTTTGAAAAATTGGTTTCCAGAGATTAGGATATGGATATACTTTGAGGGGTCATTTTTACCATAGTTTTTATACTGAGCACAGAAGAGACAAGATGGGCTTCAGACTTGGCTTGGTCAGGTGGCTCATTGATGTCACTGAGGACCCAGCTCTCTGCATTTCTCGACTCCTGTCCTTGGTGTTATCTTCCTCTTAGAGCTTCTAGGGGCTTCTTTGTTCCTTTTTTTTTTTTTTTTTTTTTTTTGGTGGTGCTGGGGATTGAACCCAGGGCCTTGTGCACACAAAGCAAGCACTCTACCAGCTGAGCTACATCCCCAGCCCTGGGGCCTCTTCATTCATATCCAACATGGAGGAAAAATGTCTCAGTGTTCCCAAAGTCCTGGGATTGTTTTTTTTTTGTTGTTGTCAGTGATCTTTTATTTATTTATATGYGGGGATGAGGATCGAACCCAGGGCCTAACACATGCAGGCAAATGCCCTACCACTGGGCCACAACTCCAACCCCAGTCCTGGGATTCTTTCTGACTGGACTGCCGGGGTCRCATGGCTTCCTCTGTGTTGGTGTGGGGCATGGTTTATGCTGTTAGATGTAGACTAAGTGTGTCGGTCAGCTTTTCATCGCTGGCACAAAACACCTGAGATAATCAACTTAAAAGGAGAAAAGGTTTATTTTGACTCAGGATTTCAGAGATTCAGTCCAGGGTCTTTGGCCCTGTCACTTTGCCCTGTGGCAACACAGTACGTCAGGGTGGGAGCGAGTAGGGGAAGAGGTCTGCTCACCTCAGGAAGTGAGAGGGGAGAACGGGTCCCAGTGTCCACTTTAAGGGCACCCCTCCACAGTGACCTAACCTCCCACCAGCCCCACATCCTACAGCTCTACCACCTCCCAGCAGAGCCATAGGCAGGGGACCAAGCCTGGGACACGTGGGCCTGGGGGCACTGGGATCCAAACCGCAGCACACCAATCACATGCTCCTCCCTGAGGCCTGGCTGGGGTCAGCTGCCCTGGGGTYCAAGTGGTCCCCAAGCAGGATGGGCAGCTGCTGGGAAGCAGGGTCCACGTTGAGGAGGCCACTGTTGGCGAAGTCCAAGCCGCCAGGAGAGCGGGGGGAGCTGGGACAGTGAGCTTTGAGAGGTGAGCGGGGGACAGGGGGCTGGCTTCAGCTTCCAAAGGAGGTCACTGGGGGAGGAAGACAGAGGCCTACCCTGCCCCAGGGTGCAGACTTGGGCGGATGGAGAGAGACACAGACCCAGGGCAGGGCTTGGGGAATGACTGAAGTGCCCTGTCACTCAGTTAACCACACCCCAGCCCCACGTACCATGTTTACAGTCATTTTAAGTTTATTTATTATTATTATTATTTATTTATTTATTATTTATTTTTTTGCAAAGCTGGGGAAGGAGCCCAGGCCTCACCCACGCACGCTCCCCACCCATGAGCCCCACCTCCGGCCCTCCCACCTTTTATTCCTGAATCCTTTTGGGTGTACTGGGAAATTGCAAGGGGAGGGGTCCCATCCACCCCTCACAACCCTCCACTGGAAATGCCTCCCAGGACGGGGTCCCCGTGGCACAGCTAAGGACCCCTCCGCACCCCACCGCTAACTCAGCTGTTTGCCCTTTTCTTCTCCTGGAGCCCTTGTTGCTTCCAGCTACCATGTCTGTCTGTCTGTCTGTCTCCCTGGTCTGTGACCGTTTCTCCGTCCTTCCTTGCTTTTCCTGACCTTGTACATTTTGAGGAGTTCTGCTCAGTGTTTTGCCGACGAGCAGGGTATCTGATGTTTTCCTCATGACCAGACCCGAGTGATGGGGTTTGGGGGCAGACAGAYCGCATCTCGGCAGGGGGCACATGCTGGCCCGGGACTTGCCACGTGAGCTGGTTCTGTTTGTGTTTTTGTGGTGCTGGGCATTGAACCCAGGAGCGCTTAACCACTGAGCCACATCCCTGGCCCTTTTTATTTTTTTATTTTGAGACAGGGTCTCCCTAAGTTGCTGACGTTGGACTCCAACTGGTGATCCTCCTGCCTCAGCCTCCCTCGTAGCTGAGATCACAGGTGAGGGCCACTGCTCCAGGCTTTGGCCTTTTTAATTTTTTTTGAAACCACCGAGTTCTGCAGCCCCAGCCATGTTGACCTCGACTATGTGGGTAAGGTGGTGTCTGCTGGGTTTTCTACCATGAAGCTCCTCTTTCTCCTCTTTCCCAAACTGTTCCTTGGAATCCAGTCGAGCCAGGGTGTGCTGCAGTCTGGGAGGATGCATCTCCACGTGTTATTTGGAATGCCTCCTCATGGAGGATTTGTCCCTTTCCCTTCATTTATTTAGTCAGCCGTTTCTTCTAGCCACGTGGACCCGTGTGTCTATGCATTCTAAACTCTGGGCTGCAATCTAATACTATGGGCTTGTCCAGGGGTTCAGATTGCTCCAGCTTTCTGCCGAGGTCTCTCAGGTCACCTCCTGTGACTGTCTGCCTTGCCCACGTCCTCTGAGGTTTTGAGCATTTCCTTGGTTTGGGCCCCGGCAGGACACTCCAGGCTCATCTTGCGTGTCTCCTGCCTCCACGGAGGACTCTGCTGTATCTCCAAGGAGGGCAGGCTCCACTCATTAGGACAGTGGTATTTAGACACCAAGACCTGGCTGCTGGGGGTGCCCATTGCTGCAGAGGCACCTCGCTTCAGCCGTGGGAAGTGTGTGCGCGCACTTGTGTGTGTGTGTGTGTGTGTGTGTGTGTGCGCGCGCACGTGCACATATCATGGGATTTTAGACAAGGCCCCAAGCTCCTCAGAGGGTCTTTAAGTCCCTGAGCCTCAGTTACCTCAACTGCAAAATAGGGTACCTACTTCCAAAAGCCTCCATGAACAGAAGCGTTGGACACGTGCCCTGTGAAGAAATTATACCAAGCGATGGCTTTTTTGGCACCGGAACTGCCCAGTCAGAGCACAGGCCTTGGARGTGGTGCGGCCTCTGCCCCTGGAGGATTTAAGGCACGTGGACAGCGTGAGGACGGCTTTCCTGTGCCTYCCCCAGTGCTGAATCTGCTCGGGGAGAGCCGAGGTTGACATCGGCTGGCAGAGCAGAGGCCCTCCCACGTTTCCCTGCCCTGGCACATCTGATTCTGGCCTGTGTTGGGGCTGGGCTAGACTGCTGGCCCCGGGGGCTGGCTTGGGGGTGCTGCCAACAGGGCTTCCCAAGGCTGGCTGGCCCACTCCCCTCCCTCCCTGCCTGCTCCCCCACCGAGAGATAGGTCCAAACCAGGCCTCTTGGAGGCCCCTCTCTCAGCAGCGCCTGCCTCTGCCCACTAGGCCCTGCACTGGTATCTGGCCTTGGCCACGGACCCAGGGCCCTGCTCCTGYTTGCTGAGGCGGAGGAGGCTGGAGAGGGTGGTATTGGACAGGGCAGGAGGTGTAGGCGGGCATGTCTAGGGCAGGTCTGGCCTGGGGCTGTCTGCCCAGCCAGTCTCCAAGCCACGTGCCTGCGGGAGCCAGCACACATGGCTTCCGGGGACTGTCTCCCCACCAGCACCCACGCCCCTCTCTGCTGCCCATGACCATCCCAGGTCCCCAAACTCTGAGCCTATGTAGATTTTTGTCCTGAAAAATAATTGAGAGAGTGATGCATACCGGTTGACAGTGCAGCCCAGTGGTTGGGCACTTAGTATAGGCAGGGCCTGAGGCTCAGTCCCCAGCACCAACAGAGGGGGCAAAGGGAGGGGAAGAAATTTGCTCAGTGGTTTGTTCCCATGGCACAGCCTGGTTTTGGGGAACCAATGAGCACAGCTTCTGACTTGGTGGGCACTTGTCTGAGGCTGCAAGCCTGGCAGAGCACAGCCCTGTGTGCTTCCGCCCTCCCTCCCTCCTCCTCCCCTTCCCTCCTCCCTCCCTCCTCCCTCCCACCTGCCCCCTCTTTCCAACCTCCTTCATTCTCCTCCCTCATTTACGCCTCCTCAGGACCAGGGGACACAGTGCCAGTCTTTGTGGCGTCCCCTACTGGGTAAACTGGGGAAGTACGGGACTCTTGAATAGCTCCCCAGGGTTGGCACAGCCAGCCAGGCAGGCAGTGGTGGGGCGTGAATGGGCACCGCCGCTCTCAGCAGCCCAGCAGCTTCGCTAGAGCTGAGCACGTGCTGAGCGCACAGTCCCACCACCTTCTTGGTACACACTCGACAGAAATGGGCACATTCAAATCCCCAAAGACGGGAACTGGCACCTAGTGCAGTGGTGCATGCCTGTGACCCCAGCAACTTGGGAGACTGGGGCAGGAGGATTGCAAGTTCTGACCAGGCTGAGCAACTTAGCAAGACCCTGTCTCAAAATAAAATAAAAGGGCTGGTAATGTGGCTC